AACTCAGGAAATGACTGTTTTATCTAAAAAGAAAATGACACAAGGTTTTCTTCAAGCCCATCACAGGAATTGTGTAGAAGAGAACAGCTTAAGCAAGTTGGAACTGTTTTTCTCGTGAACCATAATGGAATTAAATGAAATATATGTTCCGAAATGCTGGCCTAAAACGGGGACGGTGAAAGTTACCATCTGCCCCCGAATTTCAATTAGTTTTTATTATGAAATAATACGACCACTAAGCGTATGTATTTAATGCAGCTATTTTGTGGCCAGCAATGTTTGCTTAGGACCTGGAACTTCAGACTCGCGGGCAGCAACCGGATACTAAGTTAAACCACACCTCAAATACATACAGCTTTTATGTCTGAAAATCGTCCACGAATAAGGCTGGGGAATTGCGTCTTGTGGGAGACGGAGGGCGAAGAGGGCAATTCCGTTAAATTGTTAGATGAAAAATAGAGACTGCGGGTGGGCCGAATGATGGAAGTTGTTATCACTTTTACCCTCATGCACGGCAGGCAGATGCGAGTCCAATGGGCCAAAGCTGCCGGTGACGCGAACAACAATGCCGACGATGAATGTGATGAGGCCGAGCAGCTGAAAGAAACCAGGAGAGCAAGGAAAAGAAAATAGACCTTGTAAAAGCGAAGGAGTGGAACAGATCAACAAAAGCATTACAAATAGGGGATTTTACTTGAAAATTTTCAGACCTCCAAATGTGAATGAGCTTGAAACTGATGTTATTTCAGCAAGACGGTGATAATAAAATAAAAAGTAAGAAGGGGCGTGGTACAGTAAAGCGCAAAAGTCTGTGCGAAAAACTCCCTCTTTTACCAATGAGGGAAAGTGTGCCCCATAAGGGACACTAGGCATAGTTGCAGAAGAATTTCAGCCCAAGAAAAGCAAAAAATAGGCCTTTGATGCAACTTAGACTCTAGAAGAGAGTTTAATGTTCGGCTGGAACCATGTTAAAACTGGCTGGATTAGTAGGTTTAATGACATTACTCCAAGGGTGCTGCTTCACGTGCTCATAGTTAACCTCATCGATTAAACCAAATAAAATTCGTTAGAGGCGCCCAGTTATCTCGATCGCATAAGGCACATCACGAATAAGTAGAAGGACACAAGATGCCGGAAAGAGTACTGTTAATAGCAAAGCTAGGTCAGAAGACAAAGTATATACAAGCCAAGCCAAATAATTAGACCAACTCAATGACGAGCAAGATTAAAGAATCAGCTCTATATAAGGACATACTCGCAAAATAAGCCT